GGGGGGGTTCAGTTATACTCTTTCTTCCAGGTATGTTTGAAAATTATTAAAAATTAGGGTTTTTTAATGTACATTTAAAAACATTTTGTAAAGATATAGCCATTAGTTGGTTGTTAATTTTTCAGTGTAAATGTGAGAGTGATAAACCTGATTTGCAGGGTACTGCTTCATTTAATGCCTGCAAGTGAATATCCCCCACAGTATATTTTTGGGCAACCTTGATTTAAAATATCTGCTTTGACAAAGGACTTTCTAAAGTTTATCTGCTGTATTTTCAATTAAATTAAGCATTTTGGGGGTTTTTGTTGTTGTTGTTATATTTTTTTCCTTTCAATTTTGCCAGAGGGCAAGTGCATTTCCCGGAGACAGAAAAAGTGAAAAAGCACATTGCCACACACGTGGGGAGTGATCACCTGCAGTTCCTTTCTGCTCTCTCTCTCCTTCCTGTCAGGGTTTTGGGCAAGCATGCACACATATCTGACATGTTTTTCAAGCCACAGAATCCAGGACTTGAACTGTGCAGTCAGCCAAGTAGGATCCAGCAACCTTAAACACCATGCCACAGGCTGACCTACCCTTCCTTACTTTAAAGAGCATTTAAAATTTTCCACAAATTGTCAGATATTGGAGTCAGACATTGGAGTGAGGGAGGAGTCTACTAGATTTTTTAAAAAGACTTATTTAATTTTATTTATTCATTTATTTTAATTTGACCAGAGAGAGAGAGAGAGAGAAAACGCATGCCACCAGGTCTGGGACTTGAACCATGCTTGACCATGTGGGAGTGTCCAATGCCTTAACCACTATGCCACCTGCTAGTCCTGAGTCTGCTAGATTTATAGGGATGCAAACCTAGGAATTCTGATTTGCATTCAATGCTTGGTCCTTTTAAGAAACAATACTTTTCCTTTGTGTTTTTCAAGAACCATGTCCTGGACTCATGAAAATAGTGTCACTTTTTTGTTCTTTTCTTTGGGAGGGGGGCAGAAATTCATTTCTATAAACCTATTTTGTGTAAGCTAATGATACTTATTTGGGGTGGGTTTTTTTATTTTTTTAAGCTTAAGACAGACTCTTTTTAGAATGCTTTTAGATTTATAGACAGATAGTACAAAGTTTTCATATAGTTTGCACCCAGTTTCCACTATTATTAGCATCTTATAATAGTATGTGCATTTTTCATAATTAATGAACCAATATTAATCTATTATTACTAAGGTTCTTAGTTTATTCAGATCTCTTACTTTATCTGTTGTCTTTTTTCTGTTCCAGGGTACCACATCACATTTAGTTTTCTGTCTTCTTAGGCTCCTTTTACCCATGACAATTTCTTAGATTTTTCTTTTTTTTTTTTTTTAGAGAGGTTTTTGCTATAGGGCGTGTGCGCTCGCCAGACAGAGAGAGAGAGACAGAAAGTGAGAAATCACCCCCTAGGGGGGATGGCCACGGCGCAATCCCTTCTCCTCCGTTCTCCTCTCGGGATCTTGGGCACGCACGCACACGCACACGCACCCGGTGTGAGTTTAAGCCACCGGGTCCGCGACTCGAACCACGGTCGACTACATGGGAGTCTAGCGACATAGCCATTATGCTAACTGCTGGTCCCAGATTTTTTCTTATTTTTTAATGAACTTAACAGTGTTTTTGTTTTGTTTTAGCTTATTTCTTCCACAAGCGAGACCATGTAAGCACCCCAACAGGGTCCTGACACCATGATCTACCCCCAGTCTTCAACCAGCCCTGATCATGGGCAGGAGTGTGCCCTCTGTTCTAAGGGTGGTCTCTGAGCTTGAACTAGAAACCTTAGTTTTAGATTGCCTTGCAGAGCGTTGTGTTTTACTGCTGCAGCACTGTCTGGCCCAACCTTGGCAGTATTAACTTTAAAAATACCATATATACATGGGACCAGCAGATGGCGTAATGGTTACATTGCTGGACTCCCATGGGGTTGACTGCAGTTCAAGTCCTGGACCCAGCAATTTGAACCCAGGCTAGGTATGTGTGCATACATGCCCAAGATCCTGAGAGGACAATGGAGAAGGGATTGCAGCATGGCCATCCCCCCAGGGGAGATTTCTCGCTTTCTGTCTCTCTGTCTCTGTTTCTCCAGTGAGTGCATGGCCCTATACCAAAAATATCTCTAAAAAAAAAAAATATATATATACACATATATATATACCCACACACATACACTCCATATAAACAAAACAAATATATCCCTGAGAAACAAGGGAGAGTATAGGCAGAGCCTCACCTCCAAAATTCACTTCCTGAATTCTGTCTATAGAGGTTATTGATTACTTTAGCACTTAACTGAATATGTAATTCTAGAATAAACCTTTCTTTTCTCAGAGTAAACCAAAGACTAAATTTTGTACATTTTTTAAGAGGAAAGTCTTCATTTTCTAAAGGGTTAGGAAACTGGATAAGGGAAGTTTGTCTTCTTGGCCAGAGAAATTCAAGGGGACAGAATAGATTGATCAGCACCACCTGTCCTCAGCCCCTCCCCCAAGTGGGATTGAATTGTTTTAGTTGCTTGGTTAGGCTGTGCACCAACAGCTGTTTGCTGAGTATTTTTAAGTCTCTCTGTTCTTTGAGAACACAAGCCTAATTTAACTGGCCCCTTGGTAACACTGTGATTACTGAGTTCTTGCTGTTGCCTTCTGCTCAATCTTTTTCATTTTGGAAAAATTCAGTTAAACCAAGTGTCACAATTTTAGGGTTGCAATTAACATTTGTTTCTAAATTCTGTCTTTCTGAAGTATCTACAGTGACTAAAACATTCTCATTTTTGGAAGTATACCAATATAAGAGCATAGAACAAAGAATTCTCTTACTAATGAATAGATGTCTCTCGTTGCCATTCTTTTTCCTGCATGCTCCAAACTGAGACGGTATAGAATATAAGTAAATTACGGTGTTTTGGTTTTTTTTTTCCAACATATATATTAGAGTGGTTATATCCAAATGGTTTATCTTCCTGAAGTGGTCAATTTAGGAGTTTCAGTGAAAATTCTCTTTGCTAATTTGGTCAGAATTTTAATTTTGGATTGCCATTTTAACTTTTTTTTGGCACATTCTTCTGACCACTCTCAGTCATAACTAATTTTTCATCTTTTGGTGGCTAAAGTTGACTTTCAGAAACATTCACAAGTCACTTAGAGTGGAGTAAAGGGACTAAGATGAGAGGATGAAATGGGATAATTTCAATTTTTTGATACCTCCAATATGAAGTAATGGAACTGATTTTCTCACATGCCTATAAGCTCACCTTTAAGGTTTTCTAAAAGAAATATTGCAAAAAATATTTTGAACGGTAAGAATTCAATAGAATAAGAGCTTCACATGATGGATAGTTGAGTGCTCTGAAGAGGAAGATTTTATATGTTCATTTTAGTTTTTTAAAACAATCTCAGTGCTTGGGACCAGCAGTTGGCATAATGGCTATGTCGCTGGACTCCCATGTAATCGACCACGGTTCGAGTCCTGGACCCTATGGCTTAAACTCACGCCGGACGTGTGTGCGTGCGTGCCCAAGATCCCGAGAGGAGAATGGAGGAGAAGGGATTGCAGCATGGCCATCCCCCCAGGGGGTGATTTCTCACTTTCTGTCTCTCTATCTCTCTCTGTCTTTCTGGCGAGTGCACGCACCCTTTAGCAAAAAAACTCTCAAAAAAAAAAATCTCAGTGCTTGATGTCAGCCTTTTTGGTATCAAAATTTCCTGTAGCACCAGTTACACACACGTGTATATACTTACATACATATACACAGGTGCCTAGACCTCTTATTCTTAGCTGAATTACAGTCTTTGGACTTTGGGATCTGGATATATTCTCTCTCTTTTTTTTTTTTTTAAGAATTATTTAACTTTATTTATTTATTTTAATTTGAACAGAGAGAGACAGAGTGAAGAAAGAGAGAGAGTGAGAAAGCAAGCTGCCAGGTCCAGGACTTGAACCACAGTCAGCTATGTGGGAGTCCAACATTCTCAGTCACCACACTACCTGCTGGCCCTGGATCTGGGTATATTCTAGACAATTATACCAGAACTTTTCTGGGAGCTGTAAAACTTGAAGACAGCTACTTTAACTTATATTTTATATACTTCTTGATATGTAGACTTGGCTGCTATACATAGTGTGCTTTTTAGGTAGAATATACTTGCCTCTGAAAAGAGGCATCCATATTTATCTCACATAAATAAAAATATGTCCCTAATTTCTTCAAACCAAAGGAATCCTTTTTTAATATTTTAGTGAGAAAGATGGTAGGAAGGAGGTATTTTTAATGGTGTCTTGTCACATCGCAATCCTCTTGCTCTAGCCTCCCAGGTAGTTAGGACCACAAGTGTCCACTACCATACCTGGCCTCTTTAGGTTTGGCCAGGAACCCAACCTGGGCCTCCCATGAGGCTTCAGGCTTCAGTCACTATGCAACAGTGGTGCCTTCCTACTTCCACCATTCTGGCTGGGCCAGATCCTTTTTTTTTTTTTTTTTTTTTTAGAGGTTTGTGCTATAGGGTGCATGCGCTCACCAGAAAGACAGAGAGACAAAAAGTGAGAAATCACCCCTTGGGGGATGACCACACCACAATCCCTTCTCCATTCTCCTCTCGGGATCTTGGGCGGGCATGCATGTACATGCACCCAGTGTGAGTTTAAGCCACTGGGTCCGGGACTCAAACCATGGTCAATTACATGGGGTCCAATGACGTAGCCATTATACCAACTGCTCATCCCCAGATCCTTTTTTTATTGAGCTGCTATTTCAGTCCATCTTTACTTTTCCTGTATAACATTTGTCACCCACAATTGCTTACTTTTTTTAGTCTCTTTTAATAGAATGGTAACTCCATTAAGATAAAGACCATGTCTGTTTTACTCATCACTATGTCCCCAGGATGGTGCTAGCCCATAGTTGGCACTCAAGAATGAATGAATAGAATAGAAATAAAGGTGCAGGGCTTAATAGGCCATGATTTAAAGTAAGCCTGAACCTAAACTTGTTTAAACATGTTGCCACTATTTTTGGCAACACATAGTCAAGTGACTTAGCACAGATCCACGCACTGCCATTTACTAGTACTGACCTTGAACTAGTCATTTAACCTCTTCTGTTGCCTCATTTGTAAGAAGCGATGATTAATGGATCTTTGGCGTTTTCTTTATTTCTGAAAATTCTGTGATAGCAAGAGTTTGTTATTATGCTATATATAATAAATGAGTCTAAAAGACGCCTCCTTAAAAAAATACAATGAGTGTTTTGCTTATAAGACTCATTTTTGTTGTTTAAATGTATATTTCAGCATTTGATTAGATGCCTTGCTAAATTTCAAGTGAATTCCAAAGTCTAGAACCTCATGTCCAAGAATAAGAATATGCATAGGGGCCGGCAGGTGGTGTGGTGGTTAAGGGTGTTGGACTCCCACATGGCCCACCACAGTTTGAGTCCTGGACCTGGTGGCTTGTATTTTCACTTTCCTTTTCTCACTCTGTCACTCTCTGGTCAAATTAAAAATAAGTAAAAAAAATAAAGTTGCATTTAAAAAAAAGGATATGCATAACAACATTAAGTCTCTTCAGTAGGAATGCTGTTTTCTTTGTGAAACTATCCTCTTCCCTGTTTAGAAGAAAGGAATATTTTATAACTGTGAACTGAGCAATTTGTCCTATGTGACAGGGCATTTTGTTGTGCTGAATGGAGGGGGAAAGAGGTTAAGAGAATGAGAACAGAAAAAAAAAAAAAAAAACAAAGGACCAGGGAATATTTAACGGTTTTTAAATCATCTTCACTTTTTTCCTAGCACTTAGAACAAGAGAAACACGAACTGAGAAGACGATTTGAGAACCGAGAAGGGGAGTGGGAAGGGCGAGTGTCAGAGCTGGAGAGCGACGTGAAACAGCTACAGGATGAGTTGGAGAGGCAGCAGGTTCATCTGCGGGAGGCAGATCGTGAGAAAACACGGGCTGTCCAGGAGCTATCTGAACAAAACCAAAGGTTACTGGATCAGCTCAGCAGGGTGAGTCACAAGTTAGGAATTCATCGTGTAAAATATTAAAAATTGAAACAGAACTTCCGGGTAATGTCAGTCATGTGTATAGTAAGAGCACTTCTGACTTTTGATGCCTTCGGTTTTGATATCAACAAGTGAAGTAGCTTCTGTCTACAAGATCGACAGAAGTACCTACCAACTAGGAGTTAGGAGCTAAAATTCACGCCTGTGACTAACTAGCTGTAATATTCGGTATATATGAAAGGAGATATGTGTCATCTATATTTAACGTCTGTTTTGTTTCTGCATTGGGGAGCATGCTTCACTTGTACCTTTATAAGTTGGCATCATTGGTGAAGGGAGGGGGAAAGAGGTTAAAAAAATGAGAAAAGAAAAAAAAAAAAAAACAAAGGACCAGGGAATATTTAACGGTTTTTAAATCATCTTCACTTTTTTCCTAGCACTTAGAACAAGAGAAACACGAACTGAGAAGACGATTTGAGAACCGAGAAGGGGAGTGGGAAGGGCGAGTGTCAGAGCTGGAGAGCGACGTGAAACAGCTACAGGATGAGTTGGAGAGGCAGCAGGTTCATCTGCGGGAGGCAGATCGTGAGAAAACACGGGCTGTCCAGGAGCTATCTGAACAAAACCAAAGGTTACTGGATCAGCTCAGCAGGGTGAGTCACAAGTTAGGAATTCATCGTGTAAAATATTAAAAATTGAAACAGAACTTCCGGGTAATGTCAGTCATGTGTATAGTAAGAGCACTTCTGACTTTTGATGCCTTCGGTTTTGATATCAACAAGTGAAGTAGCTTCTGTCTACAAGATCGACAGAAGTACCTACCAACTAGGAGTTAGGAGCTAAAATTCACGCCTGTGACTAACTAGCTGTAATATTCGGTATATATGAAAGGAGATATGTGTCATCTATATTTAACGTCTGTTTTGTTTCTGCATTGGGGAGCATGCTTCACTTGTACCTTTATAAGTTGGCATCATGGAAGTATTGTTTAATTAACCAAGGTCAAGGCTGTGAAATTGCAAAGAAGGAGGTTGAAAGCACGAATTGGTGCAAATCTAATTTAAATACAGACCATATCTTTTTAACAAATGCTGCAATGTTGTTAATGCTCTGGTCTATAAATCTACTCACTGTGGAAAATTAAGACCTGGACTGATTTACCATTGTACCTCAATCCTTCTGAGGTGTTGAAATAAAACTACCAACTTTCTAGTTAGCAGTGAAAAAAAGAGTTTCTACTCTGATCACTTTCTTGTAAAGTTTTAATAGATTTTTGAGTCTTTATATTCATTAGTCATGAAAGATTTAACTAACCAGATAGACCCGTACAGGTAGACTTATTTATTCAAAACCATTTACTTAATGCTTACTCTGACCAAGTTTTTTTTTTGGAGAGGTTTTTGCTATCGGGCACATGCACTTGCCAGAAAGAGAGAGACAGAGAGACAGGAAGTGAAAAATCACCCTCCAGGGAGGACCGCCACGCTGCAATCCCTTCTCCTCCATTCTCCTCTCAGGATCTTGGGCACTCACACACACATGCCCAGCATGAGTTTTAAGTCACCGGGTCTGGGATTTGAACCGTGGTCAACTACATGCAAGTCCAGCAACATAGTCATTACACCAACTGCTGGTCCCAGACCAAGTGTTTCTTATAAAGATTTATGGAATGAATGCAACAAACCAGAACAATTAAAGATTTTAATTAAAATTTCTTGAGGGCTAAGTTCCTGTTACAACATAATACAAACAAAAGCAGACTCAACCCTTCTTTCTGGAGAGCCAGCCAGTGGTTGTGGTTAAGGTAGCTGGATCCAACTGGGCTGACTGCATGACTGAAGTCCTGGACCTAGTGGCTTGAGAGACCATGTCAGACATGTGTGCGTGTGTTCCCAAAATCCCAAGAGGAGAATGGAGGAGAAAGGATTACAGTGTGGCCATCCTCTGTTAAGGTGTTGTCTCACTTTCTTTCTCTGTTTCCCTCTGACAAGTGCACATGCCCTATGGCAGATTTAAAAAAAAAAAATGAATAAATGTAAATTTTAAAAAATGAATAAAAAGAAAACACCTCTCTGATCTAGCCAAAGATAGGTGACCAGGAAGGATGATATAGCAAAAGAACACAGATCCTGAAATTGACTCCATGTCTTATTAACTCGTTGACCTTGTTTGTGCCTCAGTTTTCTTATCTCTAAAATGGGGTTATGAGGCCAAGTACAGGGTGCAGTGAGAATTGTAGACTATTAAGGGTAATTGTCTTTGTTTTTGTTGTTAAGATTTACTTTATTTTATTTTTTTTATTTTGATTTACCAGAAAGAGACAGAGAAAGGGAAAGTGAGAAAGCAAGCCGCCAGGTCCAGGACTCAAACTGCAGTCATTCATATGGTCCAGTGCCTTAACCACCATGCTACCTGTTGACCCCAGGGATAATTGTCCTTCTCTCCTATGCCTTCCTACTACTCTTCTCTCTGTGTCTCATCCATCACTCACTCCCCCCAATAAGTAAATAAATAAACTTTAAAAAAATTAAAAGGAGCTAAAAATTTGTACCTCATTTAGATACTATTGACATGAAAATGAGATTGTGTGTTTATATGAAGCAACCTTTAAAGGTAAGGATTTGTTAGAGTATTGATGGTACCCTTATAGTTACTGCTTTATACTTCCCTAATTTCTCTATAGACAATCCTGATAAGAAATTACCAGAAGAATAAAGGAAGATACTCTTTCTATAAACTCTAAATTCTTGTTATCTTCTCTAGCCTTGAATATGGGCCCTTGGTGATTTTGCGGCTTTTTTTTTTCCCTTTCTCTTTTTAAGTCGGATGAGCCCCTGGGGTTTCCATCAGCAGCAAGTTTAGATTGCATTTTATTATCATATTATTAACTGGGTATTCAGGAACTAGAGGAGTTGAGTACTTTGAAGTGAATTAGGATTCTCAGGACAAGGTGGCAACCAGCAGAAGTAGTAGAGGGCCATGTTTTTTTTTATAATGTATACAATGTGTTTTTATGAACACAAAATGTATATTATTTAAATTGTAGTACAATATTTCTATGATACTTTCGTGCAAGTATTTTTCCATACATTTCTTTTGGTTGCCTTGGTCTCATAAGTTTAAAAAAGAAACAAAAAACAGCTCTACTTTATTTAGAATTGTTTAGCTACCACTATGATCTAATTAGAGAACATTTCACCTCCCTGCCCCCCCCGCCCCCGCAAAAAAAGAAAGAAAGAAAGAAAACCTGCACACATTAGCAGTCACTCCATATTCCTCATAACCTCTAATCCCCATGCCTTAACCCCCAGGTACCTCCAACTCTACTTTCTGTCTCTATGGGTTTTCCTATTTGGGCATTTCATATTAGTGAGATCGTACCATATGTGGCCTTTGTGCCTGGCTTCCTTTACTTAGCATATTTCTTTTTTTTTTTTTTTTTTTTTTTTGGAGAGAGATTTTTGCTATAGGCTATATCACTCACCAGAGAGACAGAAAGTGAGAAATCACCCCCCAGGGGAGGATGGCCATGTCACAATCCCTTCTCCTCCATTCTCCTCTCGGGATCTTGGGCATGCATGCACATGTGCCTGGCATGAGTTTAAGCCACTGGGTCTAGGATTCGAACCACAGTCGACTACATGGGAGTCCAGCAACATAACCACTATGCCATCTGCTGGTCCCAGCATATTATTTTCAAGAGTCATCTGGGGACCAGCAGTTGGTGTAATGGCTATGTTGCTGGACTCCCATGTAGTCGACTGTGGTTCGAATCCTAGACCCAGTGGCTTAAACTCATGCCAGGCACATGTGCATGCATGCCCAAGATCCCGAGAGGAGAATGGAGGAGAAGGGATTGCAGCGTGGCCATCCTCTGTGGGGGGCGATTTCTCACTTTCTGTCTCTCTCTCTCTCTCTCTCTTTCTGGTGAGCATGTGCCTTATAGCAAAAACCTCTCCCCAAAAAAAGAAAAAAAGTCATCTGTGTTATAGCTTTTATCGTACTCCATTCCATATATGGCTGGAAAACAGTTCATTGTATTACGTAATGGATAAACGCTAAGTTGATGGACATTTGTTGTTCCCACTTTTTTGCTAATGTAAATAAGGCTGCCATGAATGTGCATTTCAGATTTTTGTGTGACCAGGGTTTTTTCAGCAATAAAATAGGCCTGCAGGCTGACTTCATGGCCTAACGGTTAAAGTAACCAGATCCCATGTGGCCAACTATGGGGTTTAAATCCTGGATCCAGCAGCTTGAAAACATGTTGGACATATTTGAGTGTGTGTCCAAAATCCTGATGGGATGGAGAAATAGAAAAGGGATTGTATCGTGATCCTGCCCCATTGTGGGGGTGCTCTCTCTCTCTTTGTCTCTCTCTGTCAAATGTACATACCCTCTGGCAAATTTTAAAAATACATATTTTATCTCCAATAAGTGTATGTATCCCTTGAGCTTCTGAATCCTCATGATGAAGAAAGAGATGGGTACTTTTTTTATTTTACACCTGGGGAAACTTGAGGAACAGAAAAGTAAATGACTTGATTAAGTGTCTTCCAATTCAAGATTGATTAGATGTCCTGTGCCTCAATTTCAGATTTCTGTGTCAGCAATTAAGATCACAGGCTTGGGCCAGCCTGTAGCATGGTTGGTAGTTAAGGTGGCTGGATCCCTCATGACTGACTGCATGGTTTGATTCTCAGACCCAATGGCTTGAAAAAAAAACACCAGACGCCTGTGCGTGTATGCCCAAAATCCTGAAAGGAGGGAGAAATGGAGAAGGTGTGACCATGCCCCATGGGGGCGAGAGTGATTTCTTGTTTGCTTCCTCACTCTCTCTCTCTCTCTGTCCTCCCTGTGTCCTCTATCAAATTGAAAAAAAAAAAAAACAAATCATAAGCCAGCAGGTGGCTTGTTGGTTGAGGTGCTGGACTCCTGCATGACCGACTATGATTTGAGTCCCAGACTGGTGTCTTGTTTTGTCCCTCCCTCCCTCCCTCCCTCTCTCTCTCTCTCTCTTTCTCTCTCTCTCTCTATCTATCTCTTTTGCTGTCTCTCTCTGGTTGAGTGCCTGTATCAAATTTTAAAAAAAGGTAAATAAAATTAAATCAATCTAAAAAAATTTGAAAAGAGAGGGCCAGCAGGTGGCATGGTGGTTAAGGTGCTGGACACTCCCACATGGCTAATCGGTTCCGCAGGAGAACATCATGAACTAACTAATTTTAAAAGATTACTGTGATCCAGCCACCATGGCAGGAGGGTACTGCTGTGCAGTGGC